GATAATGCTTTTAAAAAATTTGTTTGGAAAAAAAAAAAAAAAAAAAAAAACAAACACCCGTAATATTGAGGTTTAAAAACCTCTTAAATACTTTGATAAAAGCCTTTTAACGATTTCTCAATGTTAATTAGCACTTATAAAAGCCTAATTTGGAAATTCGTTTTTCCTAAAAAACTGAAATAAAAAATGTTACTAAATCTGTTCCTCTCAACTTATATTTGCTTATCAGGAGAAACTAGCCTAATAACGACTTTGTAACCTATTTCGTAGTTTTTTTAAGGTTAATTAGGGAAAACAAATCAATATTAGGACTTTCTAAGTAAGGCAAGGATTGAACAACCAAGCGAGAAGAAAGTTCCTTTTTTGAACTTAGGTTTTAATACTAAGTATTACATAACAGGCTTGCTTTTCCCTCCTTATTAGAAAGTTAAGATCTTTATTTCTTTTTTACTAATTATAAAATAATCTATAAAGAAACGTACTCATAATTATGAGTCATTCACAATATGATAACTTCTAATTTATGGTGGCTGATTTGTGCCATTCGAGTTTTCGCCCCGCAACCCCGCCAAGCGAATCGTCGAGAAATAACAAGTTAAAATGGCAGGGGCGCGAAGCGAAAACACGCTAATAAGCGGGCATGCGGGGCGAAGTTTTAAAAAATTTCGCCAGCGACGGCGTGAGGCGAAATTTAAAAAATAAAACAGCAGGGCGCGGAGCGAAAATACGCTTATTATCTCCCCCCCCCCCCAATAAGCTAGTTTTCGCTCCGCATCCTGCCATTTAAACTTGTTTATTATCGACTTTGTGTTTGGCGGGGTCGCGGGACAAAAGCAAGCAAATTTGCGGAGGCGCAGGACGAAGTTTCCTTTACACTTCCTTTAAACTTTGACCACCCCCACCACCCGCTAATAAGCGTATAATAAGCTAATCTCGCGACCCCGCCGTTTTATGTCAAAAATCTCGCTCTGCACCCCGCATGTTTTATTTATTAAACGTAGCCACGCGCCCTCGCTCATAAGCGTGCTTTCGCGCGGCGAAGATTTTTTTATTAAACCTCGTACCGCGCCCCCGCTATTTAGCGTGCTTTTGTCCAGCGACCCCGCCGTTTATTTCTTAAATCTCGCTCAGCGCCCGCGGGGCGAAGTTTTTTTTAGTCTAAAGGTAAGGGAGATAATACTTTGGATGACTTCCAACCACTTACCCCTCACCGCTGTAGGTTTGAATCCCAACAGGGACTTTGGATTCTTTCATGTGAGGAAACTATCCAGCTAGCTTACGGAACGTCGGTGGTTCTTGTCAGATGCCTGTTCGTGCTTGAAATAATGCACCCAAGGTCTTCCTTTACTAGTAAAGCTTAAACGTCGCCATATGACGTATACTGTGTTGGTGTGACGTAAATCCAAATCAAACAAACAAACCAAAAGAAAAGAAACTTTAAAGAACTTGTCTGCATCGGGCACATATTCAATTCAATATTCAATTTTGCTTGAGTCGCTTATGACTTTAACAATTTCAAAGTTAACCATTTCCTGAAAATGTCGCAGAACTTATACGTATCGCGCACTCTTCTTAGTCTGGTGAAGTTTGAATACTGAAAATTTAAATGCTTGCTACACATTTCTCAAATAATGCGTGAATTGATTTTGTTTTAATTCATATGACGTGTTTACCTTTTAGCCTCTAATTTCGATATAGTTTCTATTTATTGGTCTTTATGTAAAAGATGGCGGGAAATAAAACTGAAATTTTTAACAGGTTTTTATATTTTAAAAAGAATTATTTGAAATTCATTTGAATATTTCATTATATACGTATGTAAACTGTCAAACGAAGACACGCAATTAAAGTTGTTCTTGTTCATGTTGTTCATTACAATCAATTACATTGTATATATAAGATTTTATCAAATAATAACTTTCTGGATATAAATGTAGATAAAGTGTTGAAAATAAGGTACTGTTGTCTTTCATATATCGTCTTTAACGATCAAATTTTTCTTTAGAGATTTAGAGATCATACTATATCGGACGTTCCAAAAAATATAACAATTAAAAAGACAAACATCCACAAAGACTGTTAAAATACTTCCATTTTTGTATATTCTGTTCACGTGTCGAGGTGACACAAAATGGGTCAAAGGTCTAAATGAACTCTTGTTAAAATGTGTTTCAAATCTAATGAATGTGTTCTTTTGTTAATATTTAAAAGGTTCAACTATCAAGTAACCGGTGGCCTTGGATTACAAATGGGTATTTGTTTTATGTCTTTTCACCAGGAATGATAAAATCAGTCAGTCTGACATACGATTGTTACAAATAAAAAAAAACCTTTAAAACTGCAATGAGGACATTTATTACAGGTTAATAACCGTGTATACTTAGTATACGACTGTTCTAGATTAATGAAGGTCGGTCACAAACTACATGTTCATCATGCTCAGTTGCTTCCAGATAGGGATAGCTCTAAACATGACCTTTACCTTCTCAAACTTTGATTACATCGCCGATTACTTATCATTACGGCATTAATAAGGCAAAAATGCCTAAAATGTTGCGTTTGGGCAAAACAAAACAAAACAAGAGCGATCAGTAATCACATGTGTCGCCTCATGATGGCCAATTTCATGTTGGGACAAATTTTGTGACAGACGGACAGACAGACGGACAGTGCACAACTAGACTTGGTACTGATCATTCCTGTAAAGTTTGGATAAAATTGCACCAGTAGTTTATGAGGAGTACTCCGGACAAGCTTTTGCGTATCTGGCAACACACAGAAAAAAATACCTTTTTATCAAAGGGCCATAACTCGGCCAAAAATCATTCAACCAGAAAACCCCTGCAATATGCGCAAGTACTTGAGCTACAGATCAATCCTGTAAAGTTTCATTGAAATTGCATTAGTGGTATAAGAGAAGTAGTCCGGACAAACTTTAAAAATAAAAATTATTAAAGGGCTATAACTCTGACAAAAATCATTGAACCGGAAAATGCTGACAATATGCACAACTAGACTTGGTACTGATCATTCCTGTAAAGTTTGGATGAAATTGCACCAGTAGTTTATGAGGAGTAGTCCAGACAAGTTTTGTGACGGACAGACGGACAGATAGACAGACAGACAGACGACGGAGAAGTGATCCCTATATGTCGCCACTACTCTGTAGAGGCGACACAACAAAAAACGTGTGTGAAAATGATAAAATATACTCTACAAATTATGAAGAATTAGAGCAAATTGTGACAAGTGTCCCATGAATAATTGCTCGAGACATTTAAAATATCAATTATTTTGTAAGCTTTTTGAGATTATGTGCACTATTTTACAACAGGTGATTGTATGTGTGCAAACAGTATTCTTTTGTCCACGGACAGAAATTGTCTATAGCAATAAAATCGTCCTTGATTATAATTTAGATTTCTGTAACCACTGGCATCGGCAATACGGTGTTAAATTACCACTAAAAAGAAAGGGGTGTCCGTGGCCGTTTGGTTTTGGTCGTTGACTTCAAAACATTTATTAAAATTAACCGATTGATAGCTTATCCACTGGTTAAATCCTTAACCAGCGGCCAGCTATCCTGTGGATAAAATTCCATTGTTCGACAGTTGGATAGTACACTGGCTACCTAACCAGTGGATAGCGTATTTATCCACTGGTAAAGTACCACAATGCAACAGGGCCGGTTAGTGAAACTGGAAACAAAATGGCCGATTTATTGATGAATATTAACTTTCTAAGAATCAGGAAGCTACTTAAGAATAAATTTTGCGTGTTTTATACTTTCATGTTTTTGAATTAAACAAAAAGTGTATCAAAGACCTTTAAGTATCAATGGGTCTATTTTTCCCTTAGACACACATAAGAAAAAAATCAATTTTTTTTTTCAAATTTTGAATTGAAATTACTTCCATTCGATTGGTTATGACAGTTATAACTAAGAAAATGAGTAATGACACTTGTATGATTTATTAAAAAATAAGAAAGTTATGACTGTTTAACTGTATTTTCAGAACTACAACGACAACAACAAAATGAGATTGAAAAATGATTTTTAAAAGCACTTTTTTTAGAAATGTTTCAATTAATCTTAGGTAATATGCATTTCATATGAATTGTTCTAGCTAAGAAAAAAAATACATTTGTAAGAAAAATCTGGTTTTAAACAAATTTTAATGATTTTTACAGTTTTAATGATGATGACTGACCACTGGTTTAAGGGCATTATCCGGTGATCATACGACTGGTTACAGTTAACCACTAGATAGTGCATTTTATCCGTTAGATTACTTTTGAACAACAGAATTTAACCTATAGCTCTTCAGCGCTTCTTATGTAAAATTCTTCCAAGTATAATTTCCAATAACCGTAAATTATACCATACCCAGACTATGGTATAATTTTCCTCGAAGGAGTAAGTGTTTCTGGGCGAAGCTATAGGTTAAAACAGATACACCATTGGTGCGTTGACGATTTCTGGGCTTGCGTAAATTATACCATAATCACGTGACCTTTCTTATGCAACCTCACTCGACTTCGTCTCGTGAGGTTAAGGCATAAGAAAGGTCACGTGATTATGGTATAATTTACGCAAACCCAGAAATCGTCAACGCACCAATGGTATATCTATTACTTATCCAACAGACCAACTTTAGCCAGTGGATAATGATTTTATCCGTTGGTTATCACTAACCAATGTTTTGAACAACCCGGTCCTGAGGTCTTCCTTTACTAGTAAAGCTGGAACGTCGCCATATGACGTATACTTTGTCGGTGTGACGTAAAACCAAATTAAACAAACCAAAAGAAAAGAAACTTTAAAGAACTTGTCTACATTCAATATTCAATTTTGCATTTTTTCACAACATTAAGAAAAGTCACCAAAATAGCTATAAATAGAAATCGCAACATTTACACATAATTATAAACACACACCTTGTACCACTTGTAATTGTATTGGTGTCAGTAACCCAAATCAACAACATTTAACAACAAAACAGATTTTATGATTTATTGCAGTAACCATTCCATTATAGAAACACTATATACATCAATTTATAAAATCCGTCTTAAGTACGTGAATTATCGGCATATTTCCGCGACTTCAAATATCAAAAAGCTTTGAAATGACAAAGAGCAACATAAAATCTTAATCAGGTAGTCTTTTTTCAAATACTTATAAAAGACCGGAAGTGACGAAGATATCCGATTGTAAATGGATTCGTTTTATCGATGAATTAACTTTATAGTGTCCAATGGATTTCTATTGATGCAGCACATTTATAGGTGGACAGAAAGAAGTGGATCTTTATTTTATAAACTGTCATCAATTGCGTCATGAAAAGTCTGTCTTAATATTCTTATTATCTTTTTCACACGCCATTTTGTGTAGCGTTCCTCATCGATTCCAAAATGAGGCTGGCTATTTCCGGTATTCCCACCATGTGCTTAGCTTGAGCGAAAATGGTGGGTCCTTCTTGTCTCATTAGTTTTGCATCTCTGTCCATCACCTGTAAAATTGTTGTTCTTTTACATTTATATCAGTGTTTATATATCTTTATAACTAAATATGACAACAGGCAAAACCAATAGAGCAGGAAAGTCAGATTAAAACAGAAAAGGGGCTTGGTTTATTTGATCTAGAGTCGCTTATGAAGTTAACCATTTCCTGTAAATGTTGCAAACCTCACACGTGTCTCAACAATTTAACTCGTGCACACCATGCACCTAATTCTTATGACGTTTCTAATACTGAAAATTTAAATGTTTGTTTCACATTTCTAAAATAACACGTGTGTAGAAATTTTATCTTATTTAAAATCATATTACTTTGTTTCTCTCGTTATATAATAAAGAGTAAACTGTAGTACAGATGTCCCGAGTTACCGGACTGTCTGTCGGTGCATGCTTATACAACTTAGCGACCTTGAATTACAAAAGGATTTTTGTTTCATGTCTTTTCATCAGGAATGATAAAATCAACCATGCACTTTGACAAACATTTGTAACAAATAAGAGGCCCGATTTAAAGACAAGAATACAAAAGGTAACTGAACGTGTATGCTTAGTTTCAACACACTGCATGTTCATGTCCAGGTGCTTTCATAGATAGGTTGCTCTAAAAGCATGACAACTTTGATTAACGCGAAGATTACCCATCATGACGGCATTAATATGGACGATGTGATCGAGGAAAACGTGATTTTGTACACGTAACAGTTTAAAATTTAAACATAAACAAGGTTCAAAAGAAGCTACATTATACGAGGGGCATATTTTAATTAGTGGCAACAACTCAATTTAACCATGATTTGCATGAAAAAGTATATGTATTATAATATATCGCTGGAAAGATTATTGATTTTTTTAACCTACAATCTATTTTCGCACGATTTGCACGTGCAATTAAATGTAAGCAGGTCATTTAAATACAAGTGTGTGTCAATGTATAAGGAAGGTAGAACTAATGTTAATGATGATCCCCATCCCGCCCAATGCAAGATATATCGTCGAGTAGATAGTGCCATATCGGGTCTTAGTGCTATTTTCTGATCAGCAAAGGGAAAAGCCTCGGCCTTTTTGACTACCTTCAAAGATCGAAACCCTGGACGACTGAGAGAAATTGCCACAGGGGGTGAAAGGTGGCTTTATTTTTTGAACCCGATGATAAACTCAGAAACAAAATGTAGGTTGGTGAAAACAGCGATCGCTTAGTTGTTGGTCGACGAAGCAGGAGCGTTAAAAGAGTTATGTACGCTCTTTTTTTGACAGTGATTAAATAGTGACTCGTGTCGCTGTGCCTTAAAGGGATAGTGTCAAGAGAACATATTACCGTTACCATATTCTCCTCGCTGTAGTTAATAACTATACATTACAAATAACTTAAGGTTCGGGATGCACAGGATCAAATAACTTCATGATAATGCACCTACGCATCCGTCAACCTTGGTTCAAGCTTATTTTGAGAAGCAGAGAATTGAGGTTTCGTTACAGTCCGCTTATATAGTCCTGAATTTTCTTCTTGTGACTTTTGGTTAAATCAATACATCAAATCTTGGCGTCGAGGTCGCCCGTTTGAAACCCATTTTGCCGTCGGAAGCGATCTCTACCAGTGTATAAACAGTATATCCAAAGAACAAGTAACACAGTTCTAAAATGCTTTATGAAGACTCTACACATCATTTGTCATAGGTATGACTTATCTAAAAATCCTACTGCCGATGCCACTAATTAAAATATGTTCCTTGTATAAACAAGGTAATAATTTTTTGGTGTAAAGGCCAATAGCGACTGCTCTGATGTATTTCTAACGAACTTCCCGCCAAAGATGTTTGAAATAATGGATAGATTGGGCACTTGAAATCTACTTTCGCCAATTTTAATTACTAGAAAGTCAAGCTTATCTGTGTTGGTGCTACTAAATAAAAATATATCAACTATTTCGTTTTTTATTCACAACGATTGTCTTACCTTTAAGTCAGCGCCGACGGCGTCGGCAAGATCTGTCTTATTAATGACTAGCATGTCACTTTGGGTTATTCCGGGTCCACCTTTACGTGGTACTTTGTCACCACCTTTAGAATTTAACAATATATATAGGATTGATTACTTCATGATATGTGATATATGTTGTGATGTGATATGACACTATGTGGTGTTGAATGATATGATATGATGTGATGTGATGTAATATGATATAATTTTTGTGTGTGATATGATGATGGGATGTGATCTGATGTGGTTTGTAATAACTTTATCATAAAACTGCTGCACACAACCTTTGCGATCACAATTAGGTAGTGACTAGTCACGACCAGAAATTAAACCTTATTGATTTTTTTGGTCACTAGGTCAAAATTAAGTCATGATAACCTGATCATATGACTCTTTAACTACAAAGTCAATATGACCTTGACCTTTGACTTCTTGACCCCAAGATCAATAGGGGTCATCTGCTGGTCATGAACAATTATCATACCAAGTTTGAAGTTCCTAGGCTTAAGTGTTCTTTAGATATTGATCGGAAACCGTTTTTTATCTACAAGGTCAATGTGACTTTAACCTTCGACCCCTTTGCCTCAAAATCAATAAGGGTTATTTGTTGGTCATGAACAAACATCATACCAAGTTTAAAGTTCCAAAGCCTTAGCATTCCCTAGTTATTGATCAGGAACGGTTTTTACCTACAAGGTCAATGTGACCTTGGCCTTTGACCCCTTGACCCCAAAATCAATAGGGGTCATCTGCTGGTCATGAACAATCATCATACTAAGTTTGAAGTTCCTATACCTAAGCGTTCTTTAATTGTTGATCGGAAACCGTTTCATCTACAAGGTCAATGTGACCTCCTTGACCTTTGACACCTTGACCCCGAAATCAATAGAGATCATCTGTTGGTCATAAACAAACATCTTGCCAAGTTTGACGTTCCTAGGTCCAAGCATTCTTTAGTTATTGATCGGAAACAGTTTTTACCTACAAGGTCAATGTGACCTTGACCTTTGACTCCTTGACCCGAAAATCAATAGGGGTCATTTGCTGGTCATGAGCAATCATCACACAAAGTTTGAAGTTCCTAGGCGTAAGCGTTCTTTAGTTATCACTCGGAAACCATTTGGTCTTCGGACAGACAGACCGAAAGACAAATGCAAAACAATATATCCCCACTTCTTTGAAGGGGACATTATAATAGGGATATCCATTACTCAGTTACAGACCGTTACATCCCTACACTTCAGATACGTAACAAGTTATTATGAAAGGCTATATATTCATAAAGTTCTCCTTCTTTTCTTATACTCTCAAAATGCACAGCGAAAAGTTGTTTCACAATTTTGCTAAAAGAAACGTGGAGAATAAGATGACGTTAATGTTGTTAAATTTTACTCTAGCAATGCTGTTCAGAACTTTTACCTTACTAATGCATTGATAATATAAAATATGGTAATTTTTATTTTTTAAACATAGCATTTTTAACTGAATACATTGAATATTTGTTAACGTACCGGCCACGTCAATGACGTAAATTATGTAATCCGCTAGCTCCCGGCTAAAATTTGCTGCTAGATTATCTCCCCCTGATTCTATGATGACTAATTCTGGATGAAATTCTTGAGTCAACTCTTTCACCTCCTCGAGATTCAATGAAAAATCCTGAAAATATAAAAAAACGTTTTCATATAACTGACAATAAGGTCATAATCTAAAGTCTTAATATGTTAAATTAAAAATCAACTATCAAAGAGATGAAAACCAGTCAAGAATCTTATTTACTTACCTCGCGTATAGCTGCATGTGGACATCCTCCAGTTTCAACTGCGCGCATGCGCTCTTCCGGTAAAGCTTTGTTCCGAACTAGAAATTCCCAATCTTCCCTAAAATGAGTGAGAAATATTTATGTTAACTCCACATAATTTATATATTTTATTTTATCTGTTTTCAAAATAAAGGACGACAAAAAATAAAAAGAAACAATGACGCACCATGACGTCATTAAAAGTTGATAACAATTATACGCTTGAAATTTGTATTAATGATGTAGTTTTGATATATTAATCCTAATCTGCAACATTTCATTTCTATTTTTGTATTTGAAAAAGCTAGTCAAAGTTAAGATGATTTGGTACATTAACTTTTGATCCAGTGATAACTATTACGGAGAGTGTCGAAGAATCCCGATTATCCCCGAAGTAACGATGCATTTGATGAACGCTTAAAATTGTGCTTTACTGAGTAACAGCTTTTATACCTGGTGAAAATGTCGTTGGTAACTACACAAACGCTATGTGTGTCTCGGAGATGCTTACAAAGGGCAAGAACTAGTGCAGTCTTCCCAGAACCCACTGGTCCGCCAATGCCAACAGTGAACGCCCTCTACAAAACACATGTAAATTGAAATGAAAGATAACTGTGCTGTAAATGTATCGTGTCGATCTGTACTGTACCTAGAGTTGTCGTTCCTAATCACTGAGCAATGGTTAGGAACGGTAACTTTGGATTAACAAGATCATTGCAGTTTTAGCATTTCGTTTATCAGTGAAATTGTAAGCTTAACTTTAGACGGGAATGAGACAAGCTGCCGAATGATATTCCTACGTTTATCTCACTGAATCAAAATGTCAAGGGAAGTAACTATTGCTGGAAAATCGAGCATTATGCAAAAATATTCATTCTGCCTGGGACATGGTAATTATTATTATAGTATTTCCCAGATTTTGCTGACAACAAAAATAAAACAACTTTGATACTTTAATATTATTAATGCTTCTAAATAAGATTGCTAATCGTTATAATTAAAACCTTTGAAGAAACCTTATTACATGTATTATATAAACATTTCGAATTAAGGACGATATCTATTTTGAATTAAAAAACAAAATGAGAGTATGGACTATGGTTTATCATCATCGGCGTTCTTTTCTTATAATAGAATCTACATCTCTTTACAAAATGAAATCCTCAAAACTTCCGTGAAATTATTTGTATATACTTTTGTATAGGAGAATGGTTTATCACCCAATGCAATATGCGCATGCGTTATAAAACAATGGCATCCGATTACAGTCAAACTTGTGATCAAATGCCATCCAAAGAAAGACTAAACATGACCCTTATGGACAAGTGGTCTTTATTTTGGGATTACTACTCGTATTTTCTATTTTATTTAGGTAAGGTGTCGAAAATGACCTTTATTTACATTACGGTCTTTATTTGAAGGTGGTCTTAAAGTGACACTATGCCCATCCAAGGGTGAGTGAACAGGTGAAAGTCAAAATAAGTTTATATTTTACCATATTACCTTTCAATTTTTTAACTTTCTTCGTTTGAATGATAAATAACTCACATGTCGCAATGAAATGTATGTAAATATGCATCGAAGTTAAACTGTAACAGTCATTTTATAAAAAGAGTGGGGCAGTCTTTTTAAATTTTAATAGATTTATATTTTAACCGAAACGTTTTTTTCATTAACAAACTTTTGGTCAATCATCATTATAACAGTCAAATTTTGAAAAATAAAGTCAATTCAGCTTAATTTGACTATGAAAAAATGAGCATAATGTCACTTTAAGCACAGGTGTGACTGTATTGACATAAAAAAGGGTAGTATTATAAAACTAATCTATGTACTCGTATATGCAACTAAAACGTAATCTTTCTAAAAAAAATGGACAACAAGAATAGTTAGCTAATATTCTATAACTTATGAACAATTAGAAATTTTGACCTGTTTCCAGTCAGATCTCATTATTGGCCTGTCACGTGACGTATATTTCCCCGGGTTATCAAGGACTTCGTGGGTGTGTCCGTGATCGTGTGAGTGCCCATCATCTCCATGACTGTGCGTATGTCCGGCGCCGTTAGTTTTAATCGCCCCGGCTTCCGTGCGGATAGAAAAATATTAAATGTAGAGCAATAAGTTAATTTTTTAAGGGGATGTTTAATATCGTATGCACTAGATTGTAAGGGGTACGAAACTTCGCATTGCTATAAAAACCTACTTGGAGCGGTGGTCTAGTGGTTCAAGATTTTTGCGTCTCAACCTAGAGATCATGGGTTCGAGTCTTATCGGGGTCATGACCCATGTTTCCCCATATGACAACAGTAGTGATTATTATCAGAAATGTGTTACATTATTACAATGTTTTGTCGCAGTCGGCTAGGATAACTATTTTAAAATAAACACAATTTTTATCAGTCAGTATACCGGTACCCGTTGGTCTTTCGACTCTTTCCAACTGGTCCGTGTTACTTTCAACTACTTAAACTAACCCTCCTCAAGAACATTGAACCTATATTTCAATTGATTTGAAAGCTCATTTTAAATAATGGCATATAAATATTTACGTGACATTGTATTTGAAATATATTACTCATGTATTACAAGTTTTTAATGCAAATATAATATTTTGTATCAATGAGTATGATTTTCTTTCTTTGGTCTCCTTTAACACGGACGTACAACTGTTAACAATTAATAAATATTAGGTTAAAGCAACACGCCTCCAGATTAGCAGCAAAAAATTATCAAGAAATTAAACCTTGAAAAAAAATGTCCTAAAATTTTGAGAAAAGTAAAAATATTCACAATGCAAGAAATTGTTTTACATGTAATATGCAATTAATGACTGATTTTTCAGATTCTATCTCAATATTTTTACTACGTGACTTACGCAGTACGGGCTATTTTTACAATTTCTAACCTATTTTTTTTGTATTTTTCGTTGGTTTTAAGTGCTATTTTGCAATGTGTAAATTTCTTTCTTTCTTGGCTAAACAAATATACTTTTTAAAACATTTAAGAAAAATTTCGTGAAAATTAGCATGAATCTGGATGCTGAATTAGCTGCTTTATATTGAACATCTTGTGAAAAAAAAATCACCCTTGATTTCACATGTAAGCCGAGTTTTATCTACGCATGCTATGCAGATCAACATAAGAGAATAGATTATACCTGAGCAGACAAAAAAAAAAATAAAAGCAAAAAAAAAAAACATTTTACATTAAAGGTCCATTATGCTCCAGAATTTTGTTTTATTTCTCAAAAGCCTTTTATTTATCATGCCTTGTTAGTACAAATTCCAAAAGTTATTATTTACTAATTACCTCAATCATTTTTTTTTTTTTTGCAATTAACATTTTAAACAGTGATGCAGTTATCACTGGTTATTTCAGTATTTTGTACGGAAGTCAAAATACTTCATTATGTTTACATTTTGATACTTTTTACCGCATATAATTTCACTATCAGACCTCTTTCTTCATGTCACAGGCTCTAAACCTATAAAACGGATGTTTATTGTTTAAAAGAAGGAAATATTTATTGCATAATGTGCCTTTAAACATATCATATTTGCATTTGACCTGCATAGTAAGATTAAATATGCATACAAAGTATATCAAGACATCTCTATATATATATAAAATATATCCCATAAGATTCATCATAATACATGTAGAAATTATACACCATAAACCTCTTGAGATTTGAAGTTAAAAACATCGACTTAACAACCGAATACTGTGTAAAATTCATAAATCTTAAGATCTTAAATAATATGCGCAAAGAGTAAAAAATATAACGGAAAATGAAGGCGAAAATAAAGATGATAATTGTGCAGTATTATTAGCTATTATAAGGCATATCACGGAATTCAAATTGCAAATTAGACAGAGAGAAGAAAAAAAGTAGAAATACATTGTAATGCAAAAAGTTGAGCATACCTTGAATGAAAGTGCAGTTATCTTTGTCGGTGTCCATTCTTAAATCTACACACTGTCCTATTAATGTAAGTAGATTACACACGTAGAAATAAATGCATATAAATTTAAATATTTATAAACACAGTGTCATGTATGTACGGATATTTTGACAGTGAAATTAAACTTTTTAAAAACGTCCGAAATTGTAACTAGATATAACGTGGTCATTGAAGCATCGGAAATGACTGAATCTGACGATTTTCCTTCTCTAAAATAGGTAGAAACATTAATACAGGTGGCAATTAAAGCAAAGTTTACCTGTATGTGAACTTCTGTCGCGGTATCTTAAAATCTGCAAAAATAAAATCTACCCGTGTGTGTCTAGAGTCGAGGCGACGTAAGAAGTGGTGTCTCTACGTTTGCAAGGAAATTGGCGACGTAAGCAGTGGTGTTATCAAGTTATTTTGACCGGTGCAAGAATTTGTCGGATCCTCACGGATAATTTTGCAATATAAAAGGTATGTTTTATTTTTGGAAATCTTAAGATTTTATGGTTCATCTGTTTATCTATTAAGTAAGCTTGGGATATTGTTTTATGTGACGTGACATTTCTGAATTTGTTGACATTAGCAATAAAGTGTTGTTGTTGTTGTAGTAGTCTGTCTATTTTTATCACAATTCCTTTTTGTCATTTATAATTTCTATTACTTTTTGCTGTAACCATCATTATGATTTTGTTTTGATTAATTAATATCAATTGAAACGTCTTCGTATTCAACATCATCATCATCATCATCATAATCATCATCATCATTACTATTGTCAACATCATATCTTCATCATTATCATAATCATTTTCATCATCAACATCATCATCGGCTTCAACATCATCATCAGCATTATTTGCATCATCATCACAATCATTCATAGTATCACCATTATTATCATCATCATTTTTATCATAATTATTACCGCAAACATCATCTTCCTCGTCAACATTATCATCATAATAATCATCATCGACTTCAACATCATCATCATCATTATTTACATCATCATCACCATCATTAATAGTATCGCAATTATTATCATTATCATTTTAATCATTATCGCGAACATCATTATCATCGTCCTCGTCATCGTAATCATCATCGTAATCATAGTCATCATCACCACCATCATCATACATCATTCACACGTATGTAGCACATTCAAAACATAAATTTGTTGTTTGAAAATGAAAGGACATTTTTGATTTTTTTGTTTACATTTATTTTCAAGGTGAACGACAATTCTCGTTATTCATTAAATATGCGTCATTAACATTCGGAACACCTCGTCGGTTATCCAAACACCAAAGCACTTTCCGAAGTTTAACGGAATTTGTCGATTGCGTAACGCTTTTTGAATAAGTATACGGTACGGAAAGTAGCGCAGATGCCCGCGTATTTACGGGCTGGTGATGGATGGACTATCTCGGGACATTTTAACTTTAATTTAGATAAACATCTTATTTGTAATTTGAGATTTGGATCTTTTAATAGGTGTGTGATCACTTATTGCTTACCTCTGTAGTATGGTGGCTGATTTAAGTCATGTCGTTTTTTCGCTTCTTTGTCTCCAAAATGCGAAAATGCGAAAAACTTTTTTTAGATTTGTCATCCATTCGTGTTTTCGCATCTTTGCATTTTGAGGGGGAAGCAAAAACACGACATGGCGCAAATCAGCCACCATACTATCAGCCTAAGCAATTTATACACTGACTGTGTATCTCTCACTTCTGGCACATCTGAATTGAAGAAAAAAATGCATTTTGAATTTGCACAACATCAAGCGCGGGTCACATTTCCTCCGGAGTGATTTGATTGACGTTGTCCCTTTAACTGAGTGCTTATCAAATGATTACATTACACTATATATAATTGGCTAAATAAACTATAAATAATAATAATAAAGAAGAAGTAGATATTTATGATGATGACGATGATGATGATGATAATGATGATGATGAAACGAACAATCGCATTATTTTCAACACTACAGTAATATCTAAAAAAAAATGTGTTTTTTTTACAATCACATAAATTGAAAAAAAAGATAATATTTAACTGCCAGATATTTTAGTAAGATTGCAACGTAAGTTTCCACCCATCCGCCAAACATTTATTTTCTGCTTTTTTTATTGTTGTTTTTATTATCATCATCATCATCATCATCATCATTATTATTATCATTATTATTATTATAATTATAATTAATATTATTATTATTATTATTATTATATTATTATTATTATTATATTTATAATTATTATTATTATTATAAAAATTATTATTATTATATTATTATTATTAATATCATTATCATTATTATTATTATTATTATTAGTATTATTATTATTATTATTATTATTATTATATTATTATTTTATTATCATCATCATCATCATCATCATCATCATTATAACTATCATTATTTTAATCATCATCATCATCAATCATCATCATCATCATCATCATCATCGTCGTCGTCGTCATCATCATCATCATCAATATTATTATTATTATTCCAAAGATGGATTAGGATATTTTTTTCTAAAAATTCAAACATTATGCAAATTAAATTATACCCATACACGTGTGTGGAGCGTGTATAATCTCTTAAAATTAGTCGAAAATACACAATAATTGCAAATGAAGATACAGCCCAGAAAGGAAAAAAGTAATAACAAAAATAGTCCCCGAATACATTATTTTTACAATTGTCAACCTTTTAAAATATTTTCTAAATAAGATTATCTCTTTATCTCTTAAGATTTATGATAATAAAATACTAAGATAATTTGTAAAAGAAATATTTTCACAATGGTTTAGAACCGGATAAAAAATAACTATAGAATGAAATTATAGAAAAATTTGTCCTAAAAACAATATCGTAAGATTACCAGTCCTGAATTATTTCATTTTAAGTACTTTGTATTTCTTGTTTTCTTTCTTCGTTTAAGAGGAAGTGGTTGCTGTCCATTTTGTTTTTGTTATAGATTGTTGGGCTTTAGGTCTATGCTCGAAATTATGACTCTTGTCACGTGACGGTGACGTCCGCGTTATCGAAAAATGGCAGAAATGGCCGAACAATTGCAATGGCATAACTTTTAAGTTTGTAGGCTATGTAAATATGTAGTAAACTTATATATTTAGTCATAAGACAAAAATCATGTCGATTTTCTTATTTTAAGCGTTGCAACACATTCCACTCAGATCGGGCTAAAAATAGCACAAGGAAAGAGTTTAATTATAAATTATCCTTTGCATATATTTTTTAACATGCCGAAGTTGATCTATATAAGAAATTCAAACGTTATGTTTTTAGGCTTTTTGACCTCAGTGAAGCTCCTTTAATATGTTTCAACATCTTTTCTTTAAAGGCCCATAATGCCCAAGACTTTCAATTATTTATTTTTTCATAAAAGCTTTTTAATTTTTTGGTGTCCGGCTATAGTGTGCAACATGTTAATCATTCGCCAATTTCCCGAACCATCTTTTACTTCTGTTACATTCTGGCAGTTAGTACTCGCAGTGATTTAGTATTTTGTATGGACATCAAAATACTACTTTGTTTACATTATGCTACTTTTATGACAAATGATTTCACATTCAATGTGTAAACCATCTAAGATGCTTTTAATCCATTTTTAAAACGTTATAAAACTCATGTATGCCCTTTCTAAAGAATTAAAATACTATTTATTTCTGAGGCATAATGCGCCTTTAACTGGATTTGAGCAGAATTTTTGACAAGTAACAAATATAACTTACGAAAAAGAGTACTTGTACTTTTAAAAAACGCAATTACTTCAAGGGAGACAACTGTAACGTTCGTTCAGTTTAATACAGTGTTCTGAATGGTTTAAACATGTGAAATTCTTTTTTTCTTTTACTCATCTTTTGGTCATAACTTCAGGAGAGGTTTGTTAACTGATGGTGAAATATTATGTTCTTCTTTATTGCCGTACTGCAGTAAGCATCTTCACAAAATTCTATATTCACATATTCAATTGTTGTATGATATCATTTCCGGTGTTATTTCAACAGTGTAAAAATTTAAAACGAGCTCGTACAGTAAGATAACAGGCCATAACCGTAGTACAAATGTACTCATTAAAGAATCGTATTACTTGCCATCCCATTCACTGACCAAAATAATATAATTAAAACGCAAAAGATCTCGTGATATCTTAACCGCTATCACAAGATCGTAACAAAATGAACTTGTAAACATTGAATTTTTGACCTGTATTGAATGCCGTAAAATCACACAAGTGCATGGGCAATTCACGTGGGCTCTACGTGACGGAGGAGGCTACATCTTTGTATCTATAGTCCGCCCTCTTTTTCTAACATTAGGTAGTATTAGTCCCATCTTCTGCATAAAAGAATAGGGTCTTACTCCCAAAACTATGTTGTCAACACTCAGTTAACATTTAACAACTGTATGCCTCCAAAATGAGCCAAAAAATATTACAAGAAAATCGATTTTGACAAAAATGACTTTAAGAGAAAGTAATAATTTACATGTAGTTTGTGATTATTGACTGGCTTTACAGTATTTATACAAACATATTTCTACGGGCTAATTTTGCATGTATTTGCATCCGCGCAGTCTGATCAGGATCCATGCTTTTCGCTTACAAACCCCATAACACAAGTAGAGAAACTGAACAGCATGGATCCTGATCAGCGAACAGCATGGATCCTGATCAGACTGCGCGGATGCGCAGGCTGGTCTGGATCCATGCTGGTCGCAAACCCATTATGTTGGTTTTGTCATGACGCGGCTCAAATAAACTTTCAAATTTCTCGTGCAAATTATCATGAATCTGGAGTCATGCTGCTACGATTTTTTCTGTGAGCGTAGTATCTTGTTTTATAAAGAGATTAATATTATTATTTTTTTATCTTTCAGACCATTAGACGATGCGGTTGTCTCCACGTGAGCAGGAAAGCCTGCTGGTGCATCAGTGCGGGGCTCTTGCTCAGAAACGACTGGCTCGTGGGGTGCGACTTAACCATCCTGAGGCAGTTGGTTTGATCGCATCTCAGGTGAGTTCCAAATTTTGGAACGGAAGTGAATACTGTGTGCCATGAGAACTTATTTTACAATCGCGCATTATTAAACGTGATATCAAATCATTGTGTATGTAATAATATATCAAGGACAATTGAACTTCTTATGCTATACCAGTTATATACATACATGTTTATTTACACGAATTTCACACATTGGACGTCACTATGTGACTGATCAGTTTCGTTATTTTCATGAAGCACATAATGTTTCAATTTTACTATTGCTTATGGGTAACGACAAGAAATCTTTAAAACAAACGTACTAGTACCTTATTCAATAGATCCATGCCCTTTAATCAGAAATAGGGTTAGTAAATAGCAGAATATGACAATTCATCAAATTTTGCTTATTTGCTATAATATTTGTACTTCAATTATACACTGGATGGTCCGTGACCGAGTGGTTAATGCCGTTAACTTTAAACAACCTACCACGCACCGCTGTGGGTTCGAATCCCCGAAAAAGAACTTTAGATTCTTTCACGTTAGGAAGCTATCCAACTAGCTTACGGAGCGTCACTGGTTCTACTCGAGTGCCCGTTCATGCCTGAATTAATGCATGGAAGGGCACCTGAGGTATTCCTCCACCAGTAATGCTGGAAGGTCGCTTTATGATCTATACTCTGTTAGTGCGACGTAAAACCAGACAAAGAATACAACAATTAAAAACACATGATTTTTATCCTGCAGATTCAAGAATACATACGAGATGGGCTGACAGTCTCCGAACTAATGTCTAAGGGCAGGGAAATGTTAGGTAAGCCATTGTTCAAAATACGATTCGGAAAACAGAAGGGATTTCATCTTAGGAATTGTCCATTGTCAAATTTTGGGGATATCAAAATGAATTTTTAAGGTGGTCAGTCAACATTTTAGAGCCCGGTCAGACTGTACAGATGTACAGACTGTCCTTGACCTAAATTGGTGGCAAAGGCTCATCACTTCCAGTTCCGATTAAGAATGTCTATGCCCTTTGGTATATAGCCTTGACTACATCAAATATGCATAATGGATTAGTCCAGATTTCAGTTTGGATCAGTCCATTGCAGTTCAAGGGATTTCACCGTTAAAATATAAAATTTGAGGAGCAAACAGTATAGATTCTGCCTTAAGTGTTCCTAAATTTATTACACATGTTTGGCGAATCATTTTTGTGGTTACTTTCCTTTTTTTTTATTCAATATCATATAAAACATCTCAGAAATTATCACGAATTTTGATGAGAATCATTTTCTTATATTAGAAACGAAAGGGTTCTGTTTGTCTTATTTTTCAACATTTAGTATTTTTCAGAAATAATTGAATGTTTTGTTAAACACAGAATTTGAAGAAAGTCGCTCTGTTTTCCGAGCCGTCTTTTTAGTTTGTGTTGGTGTTGTTGTTGTTATTTTAAACAAAAAGTTATAACCTAAATGTATCTATTCAAAATTCTTTTATACTTTTAAATTAAAGGCTATACTAAAAACATAGGAGAAATATTAATAGCATACCTTATACAGTGTAAAAATGGTGAAAACGCATTATTTCTGCATATTTTCAGCTCTATTTAAAACATATACTTGCAAGTTATCTTCCTTTAAGTATGAATAAATAATCACATAGTAAATACAAAATGTAATAAATACATATGATAAATACATATATTATCATAATTATGACATTAGTCTGTATTTAATCATATCTAGCTCCAATAAACTTTAAAATAGGCTTACTTTTCAATTTTTGTTATTCGTTTTATTAGCTCGATTATTCGAAGATGGTACTTACCCAGACCTCGCCGTCACACTTTAAGTGCTTAAGTATTTGTGTGCAGGTAAGTATCTCCAAAACTACTGAAGGGAATGAATTGAAACTTCACACACTTATTTCAGAGCATAATAGTAGGTCAATATCCAAGGTCGATAACTCTAACATGATTTTGACCGATATAGTTTCTTTTTTGTAACTTTTTAATTATTCTATTACCAGTTTCTGGGGTTGCGAAAGATCTGAGATAGGGACGAGCGGCTTCCTGACTGACACCTGGTAATCATTATGTTTATTATATTTTTCCATTTTAAATTTATAAACTATACCCTTCTTGGTTTCAATATTTGAGTGAGAGAAGGGTAAAATTCCTTGCAACAAAAAAAATAACACTTTCTATTAAAATTTAAATTTCACGGAGCACGCGTTATTGAAAATGGCAAGTATTAACCCTTACAGTCCAATGTTTCGAAACTATTGAAATTTTCAAAACTAAAATCTGGAGGTATTTCGGGTATATTCAATTTAAATAATCAAGCCATTCTCGCAATGATATCTTTCAGATCAGACTCGATAAATGTAATTCAAGCGTTTGAACGATAGTTTTTAGGGGTTTTTCACGTCCGTAATTACGTGCGTATTTTGGCGTAAAGATACACTTTATAAATGATGATTGATAAAATTTTATCATTTTTTATTAAGATCATTCATCAGATATCATGTTTAACCAAACATAATTAAATATATCTATAAGTAATGTATTTTTTTTTTACTCCTAATGACTTTTTTAAGCCTAACGTAACTTTAATCAGATATGCAAGAGATAGACTAATGTTATGTTAATATACTCTAATTATTCAAAGTACATATTATACAAAGAGTTACCTCCCATTTCTTGATCGTGAGTACAAAGAGTTGCCTCCCATTTCTGTTTCGTCACCACTCGTAGTCTGTTTTGCGGCAACATATTCTAACCTTGCAGTACAGACTCCGACCAACAAGTAAATCGGTGCCGCCTGATCAATGTATACACTGTTTAATATTCAGTCAGTACTTATATTATGAAATTTTCCCTAAAAATATTAAATGGTTTTGTCCAGAATTAAAGATAGACAAGCCCATTTAAGATATTTAGCGGAGTTAGGGATAGTTAAACAGTAACTCTCTGATCTCTCTGACCCAGTCATTTTCAACTCCCAGTCATTGCTCGTCTTTTTCAAAGAAAAAGTCGACTTGTTATGACCGCTGCGTCGACGTTGTCGGCGTCGTCGTGCAAAAACTTCAATTCAACAAATTTCTCGAACAATTTTTGATGTTATAATGGTAGTGACTGTAGTCTATATTATCGTTTAAGGACTTAATATATATATATATATATATATATATATATATATATATATATATATATATATATATATATATATATATATATATATATATATATATATATATATATATATTTATGCATCTTTTAAAATTGATTTTATAATATTTATCTTAAACTTACTTATCGTAGTAATCTTTTGGTTTTTTTAGCCAGTTAAATTAATTGCTTTTTTGAAAAGGTGTTCATACCTCCATCTTATTTACATAATTATGGTCCAAATCGAATTTTCCCATAAAATCGTACTTTAATACTTACTTTTTGGGTTCCCGCGAGTGAAAATAAAATGTACATTAAGAAAGCCGATAAATAATGTAGATCAAATACCGTGTTTTAAGTTACTTAATGAAATAATACAGTAAAGTGCATACATTGTGGTCTGGTTAATTTTTTTTGTACCAGCCCAGTCATACCCTACAGTATCCTTTGAGTCCTAATATTTGATAATACCATGCCCCCTTTCCTCTTAGAACCACTGTACAGTTATTTTAGCTTGCCTCTGCTGTAATATACTCTTTAAATCAAGGTAATTATATACATCAAACTTTTGCCATAAAATGTAATTTATAGTTAACTTCACCCCACTACTCTAATAATCTGTGCCTGTATAGCTTTTAAATACTTCTCTTAATTACCTTTACATCGGACTTGTTCGGACTTGTTTTATTCCACTATCAAGTACCTATACTGGCCAGGTGCACTGTCTTGCGGACAGACAAACATTGTTCATCATGTTATCCCCAAAATTGATATTGGACAGGTCTAAAGAGTGGAAGATGGGCGAGTCAATTGAAGGAATTCAGCAAATTAAGGATGTCAAGTTGTATTTCCATAATTTTCAGGTAACTGTTCATAATCCGATCAGTCGTCAGGACGGCGATCTTTATGTTGCCTTGTATGGGAGTTTCCTACCAGTTCCAAGTCTCGAAGTCTTCGAGAAATCGGGTGACAAAAAGGTAATGGTCTTCCTAACTACATGTATCTAAAAAAACCATCAGAGCATTTGAAACATATCGTGTTTAGTGTTTAGAAAATAAAGGTGCGTATCCGGCAATTGTTTGATAAACAATGCGGACTGCAGAATTTGTTCGTATTAAAAGGATTCCGGATAAAAAAGCTTCGAATTATCAAAATTCTTCTTAACTATGATCTGATAATGCCTTATTTAATGACTTGAAAAATTCTGATCTTCATCGCAATGACGTGAATTTATATTATTGTTTGAAATTTATTTATTTATTTATTTATTTATATATTTTCAGAATGACGAGCATGTAGAGGCTCCCATGAAAGTAACACCGGGAGAAAAGTTCCCTAAGGATGGGACCATAGAGTTAAACAAAGGTCGGGAGAGAAAATCCCTCAAGGTGGTCAGTAAATGTGATCGTCCTATACAGGTAGGCTCTTCAGCAACGTGCGTAATGACCAGTTAATGGCCTTTGTTGTCAAAGGCTGAAAAACGTTGCTACTATTATAATAATATGCATGTATGGCCATAAAAATAAACGCTTTCATCTAATGTTTTTGGATAAATAACCCAAAATTATGATGACTGTCTTGAAAATTTGACCCCAAAGGTGAAGGCCATTGTACGCGGGGAGTAAAGAATACCAGCGAACAATATACATGTATACGTTAATTTACTTTCTTAACCAAGTTTTCTGGGTAAAATAAAAATCATTGCGATACTCTTCGGATTTCACCCAAACTTACACAGAAGCATTGTCAAGAGTTGCCTTTGTAATGCAAAAATGAAAAATATTAAGAAATGCTCTTTTGATCTTGCAACTCCTATATCTTAAGATATTTTAGCCAAAGTTTCACATAACCTTTGTTCTAAGGTGCTTCGTTTCACATTGTCGAGGCTTTACCATTTGATGATATTTAGCGAAGTTATGGCCCTTTACTGTTTGTTTGAAATACTTTTCTGTGTGCAACCCTTTCTTCATTTCTTATCTGATTTCAACAAGATTTTCACGGAATTATTGACTCCAAGTGCCCTTTGACATATCATGTCAATTTGTTTTTTTCTTCATCAATTTTGGGGAAATTATTTTTTTATTATTGTCATTTTGTTGGGAGAGGCGGATGCGGTCTCCAATTATTTTTGAACAGAATTAAACCTATTATAATTAGGTCTTGTTTTGTGACAAGTCTTGTTATTATACGTGTGTCTGTTTTTCCCACTTATCAAACGTAGGTTCACTTTTATCTCTTTTTTTAAATATGACAGGTGAATTCTTAAATAAAATGTAAAGTGAATTCAAATGTGTGAAATATTCTATTACATAACGATATGAATTAATGGTCTTTACAAATCTAAAATCTATGTGTTTGGATTCATTTAACTAGGTAAAAGTACATCTTTCCGCTTCAAGTATTTCGTTGGGTGACATTCACTTTTGAAATTTGATGCAGAGGATAAGAAATGTAAATATTAATGTATGTAAAATGTTCAGTCAGTGAAAAATGACATACATAAGTCAAGACATAGCAACAGTACTTTTACCGAGGCAAATATTATGAAACTATCACCAATTTAGAAATGTATATATATAAGGCAGCTATGACGTTCCATTTTATAGCATGTTAATCGCTTTTATAAAATCCAACCTCGCCTTTACTATGTTACCCCTGTCGCCAACGATCGCTCTCTGGACCTTTCCGGATATTCCTTCTTTAATATTATTTAACTCCATTTATTAAGCGACCGCCTGCGTGACGCGACCAGCAACAATGTAAATACACTTCTATATATGCGAACAACCTCATACGCATATGTTCGATATTTATGATATTTAATACTAAATAATTAAAAAAAATTCTAGTGACTCAATTTATTTTAAGTATTTATTTGTAGAATTAGTATCATCATGTGCCCTAAAAGTTAAAATACTTGGAGAAATGCTTATACGTGTATTTACTATATACTTTATTTCGTTTTGATAAATAATTATTCACGTTGTGTATGTTTACATTTTTTCCAGCTTTTGAATTATTTCTTAGATTTTACTTATGAACCATTAAAAAAAAATTTCAAGTCAAAATTTTATCATTTCCCTTAACACGTGCCTTTTTTTTAAATTTGAAATTCCAAGTACAAATTTTTAAGAAAATGCCCTAAAAAAGTAAATAAAGTTTCCCATTTTTGCCGGGGACAAGCAATGGTAAAAATTCTTTTTAAATTTTTCAGGTTGGGGAAACCCCACAACAACTTTATTGAGACCAACAAGCGACTTTTCTTCGACAGAGCAGCAGCATACGGGTTTCGTCTGGTAAATATATTTAGACTTATAGATAAATATCTCACACATAACGGTGGGTCGTAAACCGCTATAGATATGGATGGTTCCATCATTATTGCAGGTTGCATACCGCTATAGATATTAATGAGTCCGTCATCAATGAGGGTTGTATACCGCTATATATAATTTGATAGTTCCATCATTATTGCGGGCTGAGAACCCCCCCCCCCCCCCCCACCACACACACATTGTATACCGCTATAGATATTGATGATTGACATTATTGCGGGTTGAATACTACTACAGATATCAATAATCTCTCAACACCCCTGGGAAGGGCTGAAGGGCTTTATCTAATGTTGTAAGAACTTGTTGCCCAACCCATTTGCATTTTGATATATACTCATTATTTGTATGATATGTTTGTAAATATGTATTTAATGCAATAAAATATGTTTAAACTAACACCCCAGGAGTGTTTCTGAAACGACATATGACAATAGCCGTTTCTGTATAGTTTAAACAATTTGAAAAAGGGCCAATGTCCGTCGTAAAGTGCTAAGTGAATGTCAGCAGCAAATCATAGACAAATATTGAAAATTGGTCACGGATAATGCATTCTCTTTTTTCTTCGAAGTTTTTGTTTTTGTTTATTATAAGATATGAACTAACTTAACCACAGGATTTATGCCTTTGACACACCTAAAATATATACTTTCAAGTATATATGAGCCGTGTCACGACAAAACCAACATAATTGGTTTGCGACCAGCATGGATCCAGACCAGCCTGCGCATCCGCGATCCATGCTGTTCGCTATCAGTTTCCCTACTTGTTGTAGAGTTTGTAAGCGAACATCATGGATCCTGATCAGACTGCGCGGATGCGCAGGCTGGTCTGGATCCATGCTGGTCGCAAACGCATTACGTTGGTTTTGTCGTGACGCGGCTCCTATTTTGTTACAGAACATTCCGGCTGGCACGTCCATACGATTCGAGCCTGGGGAAGAACGCAGCGTGGACCTGGTAAAGATCGGCGGAAACAGGTGATTCATAACATCTTTTTTGGTCTGCTTCCGGTATGAATAAAAGAAATGACAATGAGGCTTTATTAAAAATTAGCCTGGTCCCAAGCGTACATCTAATATATGAACAGGCAGGTAAACTATATTTAAAATGTTTATTATGCAAACATTGCTGTAAAGAATCGATCTATGTGACTCTTACTATGTAACTTACATATGCAAAAGTGTCATGAATTATTCTTAATTATTTTTATATTATCCTTTTCAGAATCATTCGTGGCGGAAATGGTTTGTGTGACGGTAAGGTCAGCGAAGAAAATCTCAGCCTCTTTTAAAAAACGGGGGAGCAGACGGAAAATTTTTAAAAACCTAAAAACGGGAAAAGTGCCCAATTTAAAATTAAATAATTTAAAAAAACGAACTTTCCCAGTTCAATGGAAACTTCAAAAAACTCCTTTTAATTCCAAAAAAGGCGAAAACAGTATTATTTTCCCTTGATTATTTATGGACACACTTTTTCAAATAATAAGTTGCTCTCCCTTTACACTGTCAATCAATCATCTGCCCAATGCGCGGTACGGAACTGAATAGAAACTTAAGCATGCATCACTGAAGGTCTAAACTTTTGTAATCTATTATTCTTTAAATATGTTTTGTCATATTTTATACGTCTTGTCAAATAAATATGTCCTTAATGAACTTGAGCGGCAGTTATCCACAGCTACATTTTATACATCATTAAAATCTATTGATTTATATGGAAACATCGATTTGAATGCTTCTAATTTGAAAGCATAATTCTCGTTTTAGACTTTTCACATGTTCGAATATAAAAGCTTCGCCTACATATGATAAAATTATGGATGAATTACACACTGCTCAGTTTATCCGACATAAAAGGTTGTTTTGCCTTTCTTTGCTTGACATTATTGTTCAAGTTTATTCCTTCATTCTTTAATGATTTTTTTTCAACATTTTCAATTTAAACTGATATCTTCCATTTTATTTATACAGAGTGATACGAAGCCCAAACAGACCATGACTTTAACAAAGAGACAGTATGGTTACCTGTACGGACCAACAGTCGGCGATCAGGTGAGTTTTTCTTTTTTCTTCTTAAGTACATCTCCAAAAACAAAATATACTAACAAGAGATATTATAAGTGATTGCTATAAATAATTTTAGTTTGTTTTAGCATAGAATGATATGAAAATATTTTTTATTGAATAGCAACCGTTTAACCGTTTGATATCCGGTTTATGGCTGGTAACCGGTTTACTGTTAAAATATCCAATTGGTTAACCGTTTGAATATCCAAAATCAGCACAGTTAAACCAATCGTGTGTAAGCATAAGAATCTGATGTATGACAATCCTTATATTTATGCATATTGATATACCTGAAATGATATTATATATAATATATTCTTTTTATTGTTTTCTTTTAAAAGCTGAGGCTCGGAGATACCAGTCTTGTTTTAGAAGTGGAAAAAGATTTTACAGTATATGGAGATGAGTTGAAGTTCGGAGGAGGAAAGGTAATTTTTTCGGAGGGCGAGGGGGGAGGGTCGTGATATATTGTGATAAGGTAGATGGGGCAGCGTTGTGGGTTCGAGTCCTACTTAGGACACGATCATAAATGCTCATATGACATTAATTCTGTACAGGTTAGTCTAGACTGTGATCCAAAAGTGATACATGTATATCATATAGGGGAGAGATATGTTTTTTCGACCGAGATTAAAATCTAAAGTATACATAACCCTTATTTCTGCTGACATATTAAAGCGAAAATTGCTAATTAAATACAACGAATTGCCATTCAAATATTTTAAGGAAAACCCTGATAAATTAATAGGAATTATTAGCTATACATTTTTATTAGATATTGGTTCCAGTTCTTATTTAATTGTCTGTAAACAGGTTCACCGGTATCAGTACTAAACACTTCATTAACAGAATAATAATATCTGTCACGGGTAGGATCGGAATATCCGTCCCGAGGCGGTTACGGGGCAAGCCTCGCCCAATGTGCGGGTAAACTTGGAACGGATAATCCAATCCGGCAGACAATATATTTAAATTCTTTTTTAATAAAATAAACAAGAAAAGCGAATAGTGAAAGACGTAGGCCAAATCATCTCGGTTACAGTTTTGTAAGTACATAAATCGTCATCTCAAAATTAAACTTAATTTTCAGTCTCTCCGCGAGGGGATGGGCCAACAGGCCAACAGAACCAATCAGCAGTGGGATGTACTAGATACAGTTATAACAAACGCCCTCATTATTGACTCTGTGACTGGTATAATAAAGGCAGACATTGGTATCAAGGTATGTCCAACCAGAGTGTATTGTTGTTTAAAGGCCCATTATGCCTCAGAAATGCTAACATTTTTAGTTCTCAAAAACTTTCTTTTTGGTATCTTGTTACAGATTATTAAAATATCTTTTGTCATATACATAAACTATCTTTAGCTTCTTTTGCCCTGTTGGCATAGTGAATGAGCATTTTGTATGGAAGTCAAAATGTTACTTTGCTTACATTTTTCTACCTATAAAACTCATTACTGGACATTCAGCACTACTTTCTATAGTTGTTGGTCTAAATCAACTAGTAAATCATTACTAAACAAATGTTTGACATTTCTTAAGAATTCAAAATTATGGATTTCTAGGTCATAATGAGCCTTTAACTTAATATTGGCATTAATGAACGTTCTGTCAATGATCGATACTGTTGAAATTAAACACAAACTGTACCTACTGTCAGCGATCGGTATTGTTTAAGCTAATAAGTGTTCTGTCAGCCGTTGGTGCTGTTTTAGTTGATATTCGCAATAAGATATGTCGTGTCGGCGTTCTTTTGTTATTGCAACAATGTTTTAGCATTTTCTATATAATATTGACAACATGCTATTCTAATATATAATATCGGTGACTTAATATACAAGTATGGTGCAGAAAATCTTAGCATTTAGGTAATGGTAATGTTACGATGGCGTTAGTCAATGTAGAGTTTAATGTAAATGGAACTTTCTTTCTAAATAATCTTAATAATGATGTTATGACTTGATAAAATATTTATAATGTCGGCTCTCTACGATGTACATTTTCACAGTATTTGCATTTAGCATTTAAAATACGGTATATATTTGAAAAATTATATTAAAAGCGGGAAAATGTTGAAGCCAGTATTGCTTATTGAATGATTGCGGTGAACAAATGTATTCTGTTGCTCTTTCATTAGAATCTTGCAGGAAAATATGATGGTACCAAAGGTATATAGATAACACTAGCAATTTGAGCTTTCTTGTCATTTAGATTTTCTCACAATTTATTTCCAGAATGGTAACATTGTAGGCATCGGTAAAGCCGGGAACCCGGATGTAATGGACGGTGTAACACCGGTATGTACATTATTATGACGTCTACATGAATATTCAACGAACGTGGGTTTTGACGATTGTAAAGCGTACAATTTCTATGACATATATTAATTATATTATTCATCATAATTCCTGATGACTACCTTGTCTGTAGATCTATTTCACTGAATAAGTATTAGCCCCGCCCTAAATTGGAAAGAGAGGCCGAGCTTAGTCTTTGTAGCTTATCAATAAGTATAAATTGGCAATTTAAAAATACAAAGTATGAAATTTGTGTTTAGTCTTTGTTTTTAATTTAAAGTATCATAACTTTATTAACCAGGGTATGGTAGTCGGTGCCGGAACAGAAGCCATTGCAGCAGAGGGCCTTATTGTTACCGCCGGTGCACTGGACGCGCACGTGCACTTTATCTGCCCGCAGCTTGCACGTGAAGCTGTCGCTTCTGGTATAACAACCATGTTTGGTGGTGGGACAGGTCCGGCTACAGGGTCCAATGCAACGACATGTACACCTGGTCCAAACCACATGAGGTGAGTCAACTTAGATACGTTAAGACGGTCCGACGAACGGACAGACCGGACAGTATTTAGGTGGCTATTGATAAAGTTATTATGTAGAAGGGTTTTCATACCAGAACTATTTATGACCAACGTATGACTAAACCTGATTACCGCCGCAGTATGACGTCACGGAGTAGTGATTTTGAAAAAAATCAAGTATTTTTCAGAGAATTATTATCTTTACAAATTGAAAATATGAAGTTAAAGAATGAAAATATTTTCATATTGTAAATGTCTGTGATGACTGATGAGTCAGCTTAAAATAAATCAAGGTACTAATTTTTGACCTGATTACCGCGGCAGTAAGATTTGACGAATGGTATTAACATTTGGGGGGGGGGGGGTATAGCCTCCCCAAAAATAGCCACATAACAGATTACGGAATGAACAACATCAAAGAGAAAGTCCAGTTACCTTTTGTTTTTGTATTTTATGTATCCCAATGATAGCTGGGATTGTTAGATGGATCGATCAACAGTGTTTTCTGTTTCGCAATTTCCCATCATTTTCTTCATTTAAGGATTTTGGGTGTAATTATGTCTTTAACTGCATTAGACCTCTAGTCTCAAATTAGAGTCCATAATCATAACACAGACTCCACTAAGCTTTTATTTTGAAGAACTCTGTAATACATGTATTTAGAGTTTTGTCACTACATTAATTAATTCTACGTTTTGAAAGTTTACCTTTTTGTAAGAGAGTTCCAGATTAAACATTGAATAAAACAAAGTAAACTTCAAACTTTTATCAAGTCAATTGTACTTTCAGGGACATGCTTCAAAGCACAGACGTTTTCCCGCTTAATTTTGGATTCACTGGCAAAGGCAATTCATCCTGGTCGGACGGCTTGGCACAGGATTTAGAAGAGCAGATCAAGGCGGGTGCCATAGGGTATGTTTCGCGTGCTACTTGGAATTAAGTTATTCTGTCTAAAAGCTACATGACCCCTGAAGAAAATTTCAAAAATTAGAAATTTAAGATTTAAATATTCCAAATTGATGTGACGTATTGCACGTTATATGTAATGTACGACCGAGTTTTCTAATTAGCATATTCCAGTCTCGTTCTGGAATATGGACTACTTTTGCAAATTTGACTTCAGAGTTACACAAATAAACGTTAACAAGACCCTTTTGCTACTTGATTTGGCTAGAATGTAAAATCCCTTTTAGATTTTGATTTCTTAGGAAAACTTGAACAACATGATTTGCAACCACCTCTAGTACAAACAAAAAACCCTTAATCCGTGCCTGAATTGTCTATAGTTTTAGTTTCAGAACACTTGCTAATTATTTAAAAAACACATCATAAATCTGGAAGAGTTGTTCTGTCATATTTTGACGGATTATTGTTTTTGTAATGTTATCTTAATTGCTGGTTCCCGTTGCTAAAACAGTTATGTATTTGAGTCTTTGATCTTCTGGTAGATGTACATGCAAACATAATTCTGTGCATTCAGATTGAAACTACACGAGGACTGGGGTACAACACCAATGGCTATCGACACGTGTCTGAAAATTGCCGACAAATATGATGTTCAGGTTTGAATTCATTTTTCATGTTTATTCATTTATGACAATTTTTATTTCTTACGATCTTTTTTGAATACGGTTGTAAAGAAACGAGTTGTGCGTTGCGTTTTGGTGCAAAACTTTGAAAGGCGTAAGCAAAATTGTGTTATGATAAATTGTTGGTTGTTTGTTCTTTTAACCCTTTTACCTGAGTGTGTGAATTGTCTATGACTTCCAGAAGCTGCTTTTGTAATTGTAATGATGATTTTCTGAAGGCAAAATATGCTTAATTATCTCTAAAGAATAGTTACTGCGTGATATAAAAATGTCCCTGGAATCCCATTAGTTCGTCTCCATGGAAATTAAAGCTTCCAAAAGCGATTAACTCTTTTCACGAATCCGATTATGTTCTTTATGATATGTAAACAAAAAAATATGGTTGTTCATTAATTATTTGACGGTTCAATTACATAAGTACGTATTTTGAAAATTATATTTCATATTCTAATTTTAAAATCTGTTCTTCAGGCTTTTTAATATTACTTTTCTATTCAGGTAACAATTCACACCGACACACTTAACGAATCTGCGTGCGTCGAAGAGTCTATCGAATCGTTCAAAGGGCGGACTATCCACACGTACCATTCTGAAGGAGCGGGAGGTGGTCACGCTCCAGACATCATCCGTGTGTGTAGCGAGAAAAACGTGCTGCCTTCATCGACGAATCCCACCAGGCCTTACACCGCTAATACAATTGATGAACATCTTGATATGTTGATGGTGTGTCATCATCTAGATAAGTAAGTTTATGCCTCTCGGATTGTGTCTTTTGATGAGGTAATTTACGTACCTTTCTCTGTATACAAGGTTTTTATTTAAAGATGTTTTTTTTTCGTATATAATATTAAAGGAAGGAACTCCACTATCGTCATTAAGCCTGAGGAACATTTGAAATTCTTGCATATAATAAATGTAGCACTTAAAATGGAAAATATTGCCAAGAGTATTAAAGAAATACACTCAGAATTGAATTGAATATGAGTTTGTTGTTAGCCCGATTTGAGCGATGCAACCTTTTTGGGCAATAAAAACGATAATTCAGGAAAAACGGGGAGAAGAGAATGGTCTGCAGATCTGCACATAAGTTATTTTTTAGACCTCATTCATAAAATGGTATACAGATATTGAAAAAATAGTTCCAGTCCAGTCATGTCAAAAAACCTTCTGTGGAGTCCCTTTAATAGATATATCAGAAAGAATGGTTAGTTAAGTAAAGTGTTATATCTATGGCGCAATTAGCCTACCTGTATTCGAGCCCTGGCTTGCACCTTATGTTATAAATGACAAATTCTTTCGATAACAACGTGTGCAAAGACATTCTCAATCAACCTCTGTTTCATAGTTGTAAAGGTTATATCTAAAGAAAAATGTATAATTATAAAAATTCATATCTACAGGAACATCAAAAATGACGTCGCCTTTGCGGAGTCTCGGATTCGTGCCGAGACGATAGCTGCAGAAGATATCCTCCATGATCTGGGTGCAATCAGCATCATGGCTTCAGACTCACAGGTACGTATAGATAGACACATTTACGGAGTCTGACTCGACACATTTGGTTGCACTGTAGTTTGACCGGATGTTTTTAATATTTTCACGAACGCGCATTTTTGGAGCCTATTTTTGTTAATCATTACTAAGTAGTTATTTATAAATGGTAGTCTAGAATGTCCAATACCCTACGTAAAGCTCTCACTCTTCTTATAATTTACTTTAGTGACATTTTATGCTGTATATATTCAAAAACAGTAATTTTTTGAAGAAATGATTTCACTTTTCTTCTTGATTGTGGGACAAAAAAGAAAAAAATAATTAAAATTAAATTATACTGAAACAACGCTTGATGGATTCTGTAAAATATATTCTTTTTTTAATTTAGCATTCATTGCCATAATAGTATTAATGCTGCCCTTTTCCATTTTGTCATGAATATTACATCGCAATTAAAACAAAAACTATATTTTCCTAGGCCATGGGGCGTATTGGTGAAGTAATTTGCCGCACGTGGCAGACAGCTGACAAAATGAAATTATTCCGCGGACGTTTGGCAGGCGAGAAGGTAAATAATCAACTTTCACTCTTGTTTGTCGAAATTAGAAACTTTAATCTGTCACATTTGTTCATACACTCATTTAGTTTGTTACATTTAGTTTGTGAAATACATTTGATATTCGTTTACAATGTCGCAAATTTGATAAAATTTAGATTCGACTGTATAGGAAAGCGATTGGGACAGATCAAACCTCTAATGTTGTTAAAACTTTTTCAGACAATTTTGCTTTCAAATAACCACAGCTTCCATGAAAATGCGAAGACCAGTTTTAATTTTACATGTCTTTATGAAAACTCCCGAAAACGTCCTTAACCCTTACTCTACCGGAAACGGAAGTGATCAGCTTTGTCATCAGCTATCGGAACATCTCGGCTTTTATTCATAATAACCTCGGACTTAATACAAATTGAAATTAATTCTACCTCGTCGATAAGTATTAAGTATTATCAACATAAATATATATGCTATTGCATACTTTCCGTTATAGACTAATTCACTTTAAACATCCTTTTCTATTTGCAATAACAACATTGATTAAAGTATAGTATGCAAGTACGCAACATGTTAGATGTGTATAATACTCATTTTTGAAGTATATTGCTTTGAGTATGTTTGCAAATTTAAAACTAGACTTGTGTCCATTTACTTGCCACCTACCACTGTGTGTTCGAAACCCGTCAGGGACTAAGGATTCTTTGATGTGAGGAAGCTATACAGCTATTTTATGGAGCGTCAGTGGTTCTACTCAGGTTCCAGTTCGTGCACAGAGAGGCACCAGAGGTTTTCCTTTGCCAGTAAGACTGAAAAAAATAATCCGGTAATTGGAATGCCGATTAACTAATACCATAACATCAGTTAATGCACTGTGCATATGAGGGTATACAATTTGACTCTGAAACGTTTTCAATAGTAACGTTTCCAAACTATGATATATTGATCATTATTTCCCTGCTTTTTTAACGTCACCAGGGCGAGAATGACAACCTAAGAATAAAGCGGTATGTAGCAAAGTACACTGTGAATCCTGCCATCGCTCACGGTATGGACTCCATCATCGGATCCATAGAGGTATGTATGACCTATCAGATTCTTTAATTCAATAGAGCTAAGCCATAATATCTAAATTGGTTTCAATTCATCATGTTTGTATAATTGACTATACCATGTTTCCCATTCAAGTGAAGTTAATGTTTTCAAGTTCGCTGCGAATTTTTTTATTAAGTATAGGTACCCATCAGGTTTGTTAGTGCTGACTTAGTCATAGATTTTTCTGGGAACTGTTTCAAGTTTTGATACTAGATTTGAGAAACTTTGTTTGCCTTCATCCAAGCTATCATGGAAATACAAGTTACGCCGGGGTATCGGATCCATGACCCTGAGGTTTGACATCGTTGAAAAGAGAATGGAATCACATTTACTTCCTATAGCAGAGTTTAGTTTTAAATACAATGTACAAGTTAGTATATTGTAAGTTCTTATGCTTATTTATTTGATTTTTACTTTATCGTAAAAGGTTGGAAAGCTGGCAGATATTGTTATTTGGCACCCGGCTTTCTTTGGCGCTAAACCAGAAATTATAATCAAAGGAGGACAGATTGCCTGGAGCCAGATGGGTATGGGCTTTGTTCTTTTTGACATTATGTTGTTGTTTTCCAAACTGGTAATTGTAAATAACCTTGTCTGAACTGATAAGGTTGTGTAACAGTATTTGTTTTGAATATGTGATTTTGAATCGTGTGCATTTTCATTTTCAAAAAAATATATATTCGTTAAAGCATAATAAAATGTTTTCTTTGGTTTTCACATCAACTTAAATTCATGATATTAAAGGTATTATGGTACATTTCCAAATTTTCAAATTAAGAAAATCCCTGTTTCCCGCTTCTCTGCGCGTAATATCAGTCACTTGTGTGCTCCTGTGAGGATATACATGAACCTCACGTTAATAAGCCAGCGAAATTACATGTAAATACCAGTATAAAGGAAGCAATAAGCTTGTTTCGTAATATTTAAAAAAAAACAAAAAACTATGCTTGTTTCAATTTGAGAAATACAAACTGGTTGTTTCTTTAATCTTATATCACATCATATTTTCCAAGGCATGCCGAATGCGTCTATTCCAACTCCTGAACCGGTCAAACAACGGAAGATGTTTGGGGCATACGGGAAGTGTGTTGGTCCACATTCTGTGGCTTTCATATCACAGGTAATAAGGGTTTTATCTGTAGATCATTTGGAAACAATTTCGAAGAAAGAATCTGACATATTTAGATTTTTTTACTATCAGTGCGTCACATTATAGATCATTTCCGGTATACGTGTACGTTTTGCAGTTGACGTCACATCAATTAATTAAGGCAATCAATTAAGGCGTCCCTCCCTAGAGAAGTGTACCGCACTGCGTCTCCATTTTAGAAATGTCGTTGTTTTTTTAAAATAAATAAAAGACGTACATAACCTAAACATTGCTTTTCTTGGGCTCAAAATTTACACACAGCTTTGCTTATAAACCAGTTGAGGCAAAAGCTAGCACCTCTGGATAAGCTGTCCGGAAATGTTGGGCTTGAATCACAATCTCACTCTGTTGAAGTTGGATGGGTTTCATTTTAAATATTTAGAACACGCAAAGTGATATTCATTATTATACGATCATGCTTCTTAACTATTTTTACGTTATTTGAGGGTTAAGTCAATGAAATGCTTGTTTTTTTACAGGCGTCTGTAGAGAATGTAACCACGTACGGCCTAGCTAAGAGACTCATACCTGTGACCGGATGTAGACAGTTAACAAAAAGCAACATGGTGTTAAATGACTATCTACCAATACTTACAGGTGGGTTTATTTATTATACATGTATTATTATATTTAAACATTGTCTTTTTAAACTCGATTGTGAAGGTAAGTTTTTTTAATCACGAGCTCTGATTTATATGATAGTATATCGGTGTGGGAAAACGTAAAGGAAAATTTTTATTAAGAATGGAACGCTTATTTGTTCACTCCACTGCTTAAGGACTTGATTCGTGTTGAGTTAGTTTACGTGATAGAACAGAACAGAAAAGAACAGAATAGAATAGTAAAGAATAGAATACATTTTATTTCCAATCAAGGGTCATGTTAAATGACATATAAATCACAATAATAATCAGATCAAAGATCAAATAAAGATGTTAAAGAAAATTAAACTTGATTCGTATTATAGCAATAACAATGGACATAAGTTGGGTTTTTTTTTTCTTTTTGTAGCCTTTTTAAAAAGAAACTTCCAGGGGTTTTTTTTTTTTTTTAAAATTTCATAAATTTCCTTGTGTTGTTCTTAGTATTCCCTTTAAATTTTTTAAAAAAAGTGAAAAAAAAAAAAAATGGAAAAAAAAATTTGTGTCCCTCCTCTTCCGGCCTTTTTTCCTTTAAAAACCCCCCAATTTTTAAAAAAGGGTTATAAAAAAGAAAAAGTAAAGTATTGATTTTTTCCCCCGGGCAAGGTGTCAAGGGCCATTAAAATTTCCCCCAAATTAAATTCCTTTGCCTAATTCCAAATTATTTATTAACAAATTGTAGATCCCTATTGATTTTTGGTCCCGGTAAATCGGTAAGGGCTTTTTATTAAAAAAGGTCCGCCCCCCTACAAAGTTCCGACCCCTTTGTAATTTGTGGGTTTTATCCCTTTAAAAAAACCCCTATTTTGATCCCTCAAAACAATTTGGGGCTTTTTAAAAATTTGGGCCCTAATAAATTTTTTTAAATCGTCAAAATTTCATATTTATAATTTTTAAGACCCCATTTATTTGGGGCCAGGCGGCAAGGCACTTTTTTTTTTTTTTTTTTTTTTTTTTTTTTTTTTTTTTTTTTTTTTTTTTTTTTTTTTTTTTTTTTTTTTTTTTTTTTTTTTTTTTTTTTTTTTTTTTTTTTTGAATTGGGATTGTTTTGCTTAATGATGGCCACTTTGATTCGAACAATAGTTGTTTATGTGTGTTGGCGTCAATAACTGTCCATAAATCGTGTGTTTTACTTTAAGTTCTAGTCTTCTTAATCTTGACTGGTATCTATTTTTCTAAGTAAAGCAACTCAATGTTATGAAAATTCATGTTCCGATCTAGTTACTTTTTTGTAAATAAGATGTATTTTATACAATTTTTATTTATAAAAAAATGTTCATGCGTATTTATTTCAGTGGACCCATACTCATACAAGGTGCACATTGTGACAAAGAAGGACGGGAAGGAAGAAAAAGAACATCTGACCTGTCCGCCTGCATCTAGGCTATCTCTTGCGCAGAGATACTTCTTATTCTAGATCTGCTAGTGGGCAACGCTATATACCATAAACAGAAACGCGACATGACTATTTTCTCGCAGAACCTCGTGTTACATTGTTATTTGTATCCTAATGAAGCGTTTCACTGTTTCCGTAATAACGTCATAGTTACCAGGCGCTTATTGATTGAGAAGGGACTAATTAATATTATATTCATATTTCTATACTTTACCATATGTGTTGCTTGATATCGATGTTGGTGTTGCTTTCAAACCTTGTAAATGTATCTTTGATCTTGTATTTACATTGATATCTTATATATCTGTAAACTAGACTTCTTTCACGCACGTGACTTTAGTACGTTTGTTTCATTTGTATTATAACATTATATATAAAAAATTTAAACGTGTCACCTTTTATGCAATTTACTATATTTCGTTTGGTTATTATATAATATCTAGAAAAAGCAATGAAATCCATTTAATTAAGACGAAAGCAATAGCCAAATTTTTCACCATTTCCTTTGCAGCGGAAGTAGCGATTTCGCGCAAGCGCTCTTATGGTGTTTAATTGATTTGATACTGTTGACTAAGTTATGCAACTTCATCGTCGGATACCCACGATTGATAAACATGTCACATAACATGCAATCAATAAATGTTAATGGTTCGGCCGTGGGTATCCGACGATGATGCAACTTCTGTTCATTATTGTTTTCATATGCTTCTATATAGAACCCAATATTAGTTTGAATATCGTAGGTTTATAACTTTCTGTCTGTGTTAAAACCCTGAAAAAAAGTTTGTATAAAGTTCATGTATACATACATGTACCTATGTTTTATTTGTGCACACATGTTTAAAAAGAAATTTAATAAGAAGTATATATGTGTACAATAAAAATTAACAGAAGAAATAGATGTGATCCCTTTTTATGGAAAGGTTTTAGAAATTTTATGCATAAGATTATATTATCTTCATGTATTTTAACAGTAGTATAAACAGCTAGTAACTTAACTGGAAGTAAAATGTTTGACTTCTTTTCACATATGAAGGTAAATTGTTAAAATTCGGGGAATTGCTTTTATCTGGTATAACATAATTGAGCCGCACCATGACAAACCCAACATAATGGGATTGCGACCAGCATGGATCCTGACCAGCCTGCGCATCCGCGCAGTCTGATCAGGATCCATGCTGTTCGCTTACAAACCCTATAACAAGTAAAGAAACTGATAGCAAACAGCATGGATCCTGATCAGTCTGGATCCGTGCTGGCCGCAAACCCATTATGTTGGTTTTGTCATGGCGCGACTCATATCTTAAGCAACACCTCAACGGATTTGCTCTGCTTGGTTGAACATGTACTGTATTCGATGAAAGAGCTATTTTACATGCACGATACGAGTTGTCCTAATTGAAGGCTTCGTTATGCTGCATATAGCTCACAAAACGACCCGTCAACCACGTACCACAATTACAATGAATAAAGCTCCCAACACAATGGGATGTAATATGTCAAGATGCTCTAAGCACCCTAAGTTTAAGCACATAATTAATATATTTTGAATATGTTTGTATATATTAAACATGGGTTAAATCATGATGATTGTGATGTTGATAATGATGCTGATAATGAACTGATGATAATGATGATGAAGACGTTGATGACTATGATAAAAAACAATGTTGAAATGACTTGTGTGGGAGGGTGGGTACGTCCCACCAACACAGTGTAACGCAAGTGGCGATTTTTCAGCTTAACTGGTGGAGGAAGACCTCGATTGCACTTCCGTGCACAATTTCACCTGATAAGAGCCGCCGACGTTCGATAAGCCAGATGGATAGCTTCCTTACATGAAAGAATTTAAAATCCCTTTTGGGACTCGAACTGACGGCGATGAATGTCATTCGATACTGGCGATTCTGTTAGGCATGGTTTAAACACATACTTCTCCAAACTGACTAAAGTTTTGTCATATTGTGTTTAACATATCTAAAGCGTAGCGTGTTTAGCATGACTAAAGCAGAACTTTGTTTTACACGTATATATAACACGTTATTTTACATGCTTCAAGCGTAGCTAAATTTTACATGTTGAAATTGAAGCATTCTTTTACATGTTTAAAGCGTAGCATTGTTTACATGTCTAAAGCATATAGCGTTTAATTACATGTCTAAAGCTTAGCATGACTTTACATGTGTACGGCTATTTAAGAGTTGGTTTTAATCAGACTAATCCACTACGCCGCTATTTTAATGTAATAACAAGTGTCTAGACCTACAGTTTGTTTTGTTAGATTAATCGCCGTGTTGGAAGCAGTATTTCCGTTTACAGTGTATAGACGACCATCAATGTCTCCCTGTAACTTGTTTATTTAATACAAATGCTAATATATTTTTGTAAGCTCTCCTTTCAATAAATCATTTGAAAATAAAAAAAAACTTACAAAAGTCAACCAGCTCTTCACGACAAAACAAACCAACCAACTAACCAACTAACTAACTAACTAACAAACAAACAAACTAACTAACTAACTAACTAACTAACTTACTAACTAACTAACTAACTAACTAACTAACAAAGAAAATCCTTTGTTGTACTCGGAGCGCAAACTTACGGAAGTTATATAGCTCATTAGATTGATTTTAGATTGAGTGAGACATACTTTTATGTTAACGCTACCTTCTACCATAATTTACCATGACACCTAAAGTTATAGTTCAAGTGATTTCTGTAGAACATTGGTCAACATTTATTACACATGCTCTAAATTGACAGCATAGTGTGACCACAGGTATTTCAAACCAAAAGTTTGTATACCTCCGCTATAATGTCCCTAACTATTTTTAGTTATTCCCTTCAGACTATTTGCAGGCAAAATTTAAAGCAATGCTTCCATCGTTAATTTTTTCATTTGAAACAATTATAACTTTTAAAAAACACACGCGCAATGTGAGGTATTTGTTCATCTGACTTCTAACTCTAACCCTAACCTTGCCCTTAACTTACCCTAATGCGTTTCTAACCCTCAACTTAACCTTATATCTGTACAATGTTAGGCTTCTTAACCTAAACTGACTCACGGAATGAAGGTTAAAGTTCCGAGGTATACCTCACAATGTAGGTCTAACCTCACTTTGTATTGGCTAAAGTCACACATTTACCTCGCCATGTAAGTATACCGACACACACACACACACACGCGCGCGCACACACGCACACACAAAAGGACACAAGGAAAACAAACAATATTTTTACTATCTCTATGGACTCAATATACTAGATACATGTAATGTTGCATAGATTTGAGCTCCAAATGAACTTGCTAAACATACAATAACCTCACCGTTATGATACAATTTGCACATACTGACAATTACCTGTAAATTTTCGCAGCAAAATAGAAAAATCTGCGAGTTTTCTGACAATAAAAAGCGCGAAATTTTACACGCAATTCTACGTATAATAGTGTTAAACACAAAATCCCATTGTATGATTATTAGTAATATAATAATGTCTGTATTTTTCATAATGGGGACACTCCTTTGCAACGTCATTGCAAAGTCTGTTTACATAACATGGTCATTTCAAATCAGGCATTTTACAAGTTCAGAACGTGCTGAAATAATTTGATCATTATTATTTGTGATATGAAAATACTGAAGAATAAAGATATGTAATTATAATAACTAATTTTGAAATAACAAATACATACAATGAAAATGAAAACTGTTACACATTTTTTTCTTGTTGTGTATGTTTTTCGGACAGGATATTGTGAATCGGCGCCAAATATGGAATCTTCACTCCTTACTTTGATCAATCTTCAAAGGGAGCACTGTCCAAGTGTAGGTATGTGTACGAAAAATGCTCCTCCGGATATCACTCCTGTGAAAACACCGCTTCCAAATTGTTGCAAGGCATGCTCCTGTGAAACAAACTGCATGGACTTTGGCAACTGTTGTCCGGATTATTATATTGGCCGTCTGTTTACCGATAAGAATATAACACAAGATAATACTTTATTCAATATATCCGAATGGTTTGAAAAACTGAACGCAACCTTTCAGCAACACGTACATGAGGATAATGGATCGTTATCGCGCGACGAGGCCACTGACAACCAAACTGGCAACTTATCTTGTGTAAGATCTAAGGCAGTAAGCAAAGACTTCCATATGGAGGAAGATAAGTACCCGCAAGCATACAAAATGATAGCAAAGTGCCCTAAGGATTTCAACGGCGCAGACGACATCAAAAGTAAATGCAATGCTGATTTCCAAATAAAAACGTTAAAGGTTAATAATATTGGACCTGATCTAGTTGTCCCAGTGACGTCGCTAAAAACCAACTACACGTACACAAATGAATATTGTTTACTCTGTAACGAACGAAATGACGTCAAAAATGACGTCATACAATGGGACGTATTTTTTACTTCTTTTAACGGGTATCATCTGCTAGGAGATACTGATGATCCATACCGTATACTAGAGTATATGACGTCAGGCCAAGGCATTTTTGGTTCTAATTCTATTTACCAACCGGAAAAGCAGGTGGCCCACCTTGTTACTAGATGTAGAAAAGTTGACGTCAAATCATGCCCGGACGGCACCGACATTGATACTAAAACAGTATGCACAAGGTACCATCTGCCCGTTATTTCCAAAAGTCAGAATAGCAAAGGTTACGTAGTATATAATAACATCGCCTGTTACTTGTGCAACAACAAAAAATTATTCAAAGCTAACTGTGAAAAAATTTACACGCCAGGAATAGGTTATAGGTTGCAATTGAACTTTGTAACAAAAAGTGGACATATATCAACAATAAGACGGTACAACTCGTCCAAACATGAATTGCTGAATATTTCTTTTACTGAAAAGGGAAGCGGAGAGAAGTGCGAGCAGGGTTTTATACCCATTTATAAAACGGTACCAGTACGTAATGCATTATGCACTTAATTTTTACACCTCTTAAATCATACCTGATCATTCTTTAGTATTTGAAAGTATGAAAACAAGGAACGGCCCAACGGCTCTGGTGATATATACAAATAACTGTTTACATATGATCATATAGAATGTTTAAGCTATTTACTGTCATGAGATATAACCATCAAGTGTATGTGTAATTAGCGTATGAACATCAAATGAAATTAACTTATAAACGCAACGTGTATATGTAATTAACAGTAAACGTCAAGTGTACGT